CCGCACCCCCACCTCCCTCCACCGGCTTTTGCTACCATCTCAACCCTCCTCTCCAAGCCTTCCTTCCTGGCGCCGGGGCACCTGAGTCACCCGAAAACCTAATGTGGGGACGGTGACGCTTGCGAGGTCGCTGTCAGCGCTCGCACCCGCTCCGCTTCTCCGCTCGCGATCGTGTCGGTGTCTTCCGCATCCAGCCAGTGTGCTCGGCGCGTCCAGAAACATTACCGTGAGGAACAGAGGCTGAACAGCCCCAGGACGCGGCTGTCTTCGCGGTCCCCTCCACAGCGGAGGAACTGGAGGCTGGCGGGGCAAGGGCACCCCACCCCACCCTGCTGAACCCCCAGTTCTGTCCCTGGTTGCGCGGGTTCAGGACCTCTGTGTGTGTGTGTTGGGGGTGGGTAATCAGGGGTGTGCTGGACATGAGAGAGAGGGGCTCCTGCCTTTCTAAACAGTTCCATCCCCAGCACCAGAGTTGTTAGGGGTTTGTGGGGTCCTGCAATACCTATTCATGCACAGACCCAGTGTGTACCAAGGATGGACGCCTGCTTGGGGGACCCATAGACCCTACGCAGAAGGGCACTGCCATGCCTAGGCAGAGTGTTCTGGGTTTGTCAGCTCCCTCTCCTGTGCTGTGTGCCTTTGGTCAAGTAGCTGAGATCTGCAGGCAGGATAGTCGCCCAGTACCCTGGGGGTGGGGGTGGGGATGGATAGTTCGGCTATAATGTGTAGAGGAACCTGTGATTGGATGTGAAGTATAGGGTCAACCTAGCCAGTTCCCTGCTCCTAAACAGAACCACCCGTCAAGCAGAAGCCCAGCGCCATCCCAAATGTCTTTCTGTAGGAAGGTCCTGGACCAGAAGACCCGTGTGGAAAACTTTGATTTGATTGAAAGAGATGAGCTGGGCGTGTGGTTGTTACCAGGGTTTCGGTGAGCCCTGGTGTCCTTCTTGGTCTATTGCAGGATCAGACTGGAAGGGAGGCAGGAGAAAGACAAAGTTCCTGTTTCTGGGAAGGCTAAATATGAGGAGGATGGGGAAGGACCAGGTACTAGGAGGGAGCTGTTCAACCCCTCACTCCTACCCCTCACCGCCATCCACCCCTGCAAACACACACACACACACACACACACACACACGCGCGCGCGCGCGCGACTCAGCAAGCTGGTCTCTGTGTGTGAGAATATGAGGTACACTGACCCTTGGTTCTTCCCCCCTTTACCTGGTGCTTGCAGGGCTGTGTGGCCCGGGCAGGGCATGAAGAGCTCTTGTCAGCTCTCTTTGTCTCTTTTGTGGTTGCTTTTCTTCTCACCCCCCTGCCTTGTGAATCTCACTGCCTGCTGTGTGTCTTGTGGTCTTTGCCTCCTCGCTCTCCTCTGCCTGCGTTGGTAATGAGAAACTGAAGAAGCACTTCACTGCCTCCCTGGGAGCCGCATCCCCCTGCTGGGAAGGGGTGGGCAGCCTTGGCAGGTGGAGTATGGTTTGCTTTCCGCAAACATCAGATGTGCCGTTGGGACAGGCGACTGAAAAATGAGCAGGATTAGAAAGGGAGGCTCAGAACGCAGGTTGGCAGCAACCTGGAGGAGGTCTTGGTGGGCTCTGAGGAGAGGCTGCAGCCTTTGTTTCCCAGCTCCACCGGGATGAAAGCTAGAAATGCCTGTTGGCCTCTGCTCCCTGGCTTGAGCCTGGGCTCGCAGGTCACAGGCAGGCAGAGATGGAGGCCCTTCCTGGGTTCTAAGAGCATCAATTTTAAGGCACCCAAGTCCCTCCCTTTCCAGGCATGCTTGACACTGTGGCACACCCAGGCCATACTACTAACCCCTGGTCTCTCCCGGGGAGTCAAAGCCTCCTGGCCAACCTTGCCAGCTTCACTCTCACAGGTGGTGAGGATCTCCAGTCGGTGTAGCCTGAACAGAAAGAGTCTTGGAAGTGCTAGACTCTGCTGTCTTCTCAAGCTCCCTGCCTGCAGGCGTGGGGGCCTCATCCCCTGTGCCGTGTCAGATTGGTGTCGTGCCAGGCACCTCAGGTTTTGCAGGCAAAAGAGTGAGGACACAGAGAGGTAGGGCAGCTGGCCCAAAGCCACACAGAACTTGTTTCCGGGCCTCTATGACCCAAGTCAGTAATTGCAAGAAATCTGGCGCTAATAGGAAAGAGGGGGTGTCTTGGTTGTCACTGGGGGAGCTGAGTCTGAGGGAATCTTGCAGAGGCTTTTGTCTGTGCTTCCTTGCAGTAGCCCATTACATATCTTTCCCACAGGACTTCTCACCCCCACCCCCATGGATCTGGCCAAGGGTCCCAGAAAAAAACAAAATAGGGGCAAAGCAGGAGTTCCATTTGTCAGTCTCCTGGGCAGCTGTCCATCTTTTCTGCATCCCACTCAGTACCAGTGCATCATTTGGGTGGATTGTGGTTTTCATGCCCCGCAAAGGGCTTTGGGATTCAAGAAGGGACTGGAGTCAGGGTGGACATATGAGCCAGCTGCCCTTAAAACCGGTTCCTGATATCGTCAATGCTAGCTATCCAGCTCACCACCACCCCTGTGCAGCTGTGCACCGTTGCTACCCTAAGGCCTGCGATGGCTCCCCATTGTCCACAGGGTAAAGTCTCATCCTTAAGGCTGATGGATCTTGAGTCGGATGCAGCCTGCGGTTTTGGCAGTCTACCTCAGGCCACGGCACACCTTTTTTGTGGCTCCTTCTCACTGCCATCACCCCTCTCTTCCGTGGGTCATTCCCGGATCGTTCTGTTTTTCCCATGACACCCTTTTCTTTTCCTCTTGAGATGGGGGTCTTGTATTGTCCACACTGGCCCTAAACTCCTGGTTTCAAATGATTCTGGCCCTCCTGCCTCAGCCTCCTGAGAAGCCAGAACTACAGGCAAACACCAGTTTCCATTTGACACTACATAAGAGCTGCTTCCAAGTTTCTGTCAGCTTCCCCTACTGCAGAGGGTCCAGCCAGCACTGCAACCCCAGATGTAGCTCAGTGCCCGATGCCATGAGCCATCCCACTCGTGAACAATCCCTCCCCAAACCTCCCCCAGTGCAGCTTTTCGCCATCTTGAGCCCCAGCCCCGCCTGTTATATGTCTCCATTTTGCCACTGACTCACCTGTTTAGGGCTCATCATTTAGTTTCCCCAAGAGTGCTGTTCTCAGAAGCAGGCAGAATTTGTCTTTTGTCTCCATCCTGTGCCCAGGACAATGATGGGCACATAGCAGGCACTCAGTCAAGAGTTGTTGGTTATGAATGACCGAGTCTTTGAACAAGCAAAAGAATGAGAACACCTAACGGGGAGCTGTCAACCTGCCTGAAAACCAACCTCTCCCCTGCCCTTCATAGCCTTCTCTCCGTGGAGCTCGAAGCTGGGCACGCTGGGGACCATGCAGAGGGCTGGGGCCGGGGCCCGCAGGGCCTCTGACTGCGGGCCCGCACCTTACCGGCCCAGGTGCATTGCCAAGTTTGCCCAGGTGGGTGGGTGTCCATCTCATGTGCTTTGGAAGACAGTTGTGGGGTGGCTACTCCCTGGGGCTGGGGAGGACCTGGGGCCCAAGAACCTAACTCTTCCTCCTTTGGAGTGGATGTGTTCTCACGAATAGGTGAGAAGATGAGGCCCATGTGACCTAACCAGGGTCACCTGCTAAGAACATTAGCAAAGAGCACTGGCCTCGGAGGACTGTGCTTGGTCACTGCCTTGCCTGCAGGGTGGAGTACCGTGTGCATTGGAATTGTGGCCCTTATGCCCCTTCCTGTCTTGCTTCTTCTCCCCATCCCAGTATGTGGGATCCTTTCCTGTAGAGGACTTGGACACACAGGAGGGTGTGTACCTTGTACAGCAGCAGCTGTGGGCACTGCAGGTGAGGGACTTGGGAAGCACAACCCCAAATTGGACACCGTGGATATCAGGCTTGGATGGAGCCCTGAGGCCAGTCTCCTACCCCCTACATCTTCCAGATGGGCGGGCACATGAGGCCCAGGGAGAGTGGGACCAAAAGTCTTCTGAGAGGTGACTCAATAGTTCCAGGCTTCAGGACTCTCTAGATGCTGGGGACCCATGCCCCATAGGTCATAGCATGACTGTTGGGGATCTGCTACCCAGGCCTCCATCCCTGGGCTGGGGTGTTGATGAGGGGCACTGTGGCGTGACCGCATTGGGCCAGAACGAGGAAGTGACACCTGTCTTTGCCAACTCTCTTCCCCTCAGGACTGTTCCCGACGCCGTGCCGTTATCCTGAAGTTCAGTCTTCAGGGTCTCAAGGTCTACAGTGGGGAGGGCGAGGTAGGAGGGTTGGAGGGGTAGGAGGGGCTGGGGTAGTGAGGACCAGACAGGGTGTGGTCTTCTTACAGTCTGCCCCATGCCCCTCTAGGACAACCCTTAACAATAATTGCTTGCCTGGCCCTCCAGAATCTTCTCTAGAGGCCACCTTCTGTCCTAAGTATCAGGGACATCCACCCCATGAGATTTTGCAAGTACCTGGCCCAGCATTGGCTGGTGGCTGGGGACAGCCATGGGCTGGAAATGGTAGGGAGCCCTTGTGTGCTTGGCTGTCCCTCCCTGGCTACCCACTGTTCACCCAACATGGCTGCCTGTTGACAGCCACGCCACATTGTGCAACCCACAGCTGCAGGCTTCTTTTATGAGGCCTGGTGCTGGGTGCAGTAGTGCCCTGGAGTTCCACATCACCTGCCCAAGGCATTGCTACTATCTGACATGACAGCAAGAGACACTCAGTTCTCACATGGGTAGTAAGTGGCAGAGCTAGGATTTGAACTCTGAGCATCCTGCCCCAGATACCAGTGTAGAGCCCCGGGGCCTGATGCCACTGCCTTTGTGTGGTTCCAGCTAGAGACCACTGGGTCGCTGTCCTGTCCCTTGGTTCCATAACTTGGGTGGCCATCCTGACCTACGTCTCTGCAACAGGTCCAGAGCTATGAGGGCTGAAGGCTAGGGCTTGGCAGGCCTCTGGGAAAGAAGGTTCTCTTTGCCCCAGGAGGTGGGTGGCCTATGCCAGACATGTGAGGCCCTCAGACCACCGCCACACAGGTGAGTGAGGTCTGCTGTCACCACGATGCCTCACAGGTGCTCCTGATGGCCCATGCCCTGAAGCGGATCCTCTATGCCACCTGGTGCCCAGCTGCCTGTCAGTTTGCTTTTGTTGCCCGGAACCCGAGAAGCCCAGCCAGCAAGCTTTATTGCCACCTCTTTGTGGGGAGCCAGCCTGGAGAGGTACCTGACACCCAGAGGGTAGTGTGCCTTGAGGGGGCTGTGTTGTTTTCAGGTGACAGCGGTGAATATGTGCCTTCCCACTCTGGCTTTTGGCTCTTTCCTCCTAGGACTGTGTTGTGTCAGCACCCTTGACACTCCCTGCACTAGCTGGGACTTTTCTCTGCTATGGGTGCCCACCCTCCCTCATCCTGGCTAATTCCCACCACCCTTCTAAGTCCAGCCCACCTGTGACAGGAGCCACACTCCAGCAAGGGGCTGTGCCTGATGACAGGTCTATGGAGTCCTGTAACAGCAGAAGCTTGGTCCAGGTTTTGAGCTGTCCCTAGGTGGCTCTGTGTAGCCCTGTATGGGTCATAGGCAGGTATACTAGCGGTCAAAGCTGGTGTGGTCCCTGTGAATGACAGACCTGAGGCAGCCTGTCTTTTCGAGAGTTCTGGCATTTGGTCTCACCTCTGGATGTGCACCTTGGGTGAAGGGGGCTGACCCTGATGGTCCCAGCCTCCTGGGTCTGGGATTGTGTGAGTGAGTGAGTGAGTGAGTGAGTGAGTGAGTGAGTGAGTGAGTGAGTGAGTGAGTGAGTGATGGGTTCCATATTTAGGCCCCAGACAAGTGTGGAGAGTTTTCTGTGCCTCGTTTCACCAACTCCTCAGAGGACCATGACGAAGAAACAGGCACACGGGTGCCATGCTCCACCCTGGGTCACCCAACAGCTCCTAAATAACTGGGCCAAGGCCAAGGTTCTTAGCTACTCCTCCTGGGGGTGTTGAGGGCCTGAGCACTGGGAGGATGGGGAGGCTGATGTGGTCCAGGAGTTGTGCTCTCTGCTCCCAGGATGGCGCCTGGCACAAAGTGGCTTGGTAGTGAGCAGACTAGAGCAAGCTGGCAGCGGGGGCTGCATGTGGTGAGATTTTTAGGGCTAAGTAGTTTTCCCAGGAAGCTTTGGAAGGGGCACCCTGCACCTGAAGCCAGGGGGCCATTTGCAGCCCTGAAGAGTGGACTAGTGTCTGAGGGGCTTCCCAGGGAGCTGCTGCAGCTGAGCCTACCCTCCCTTCCTAGGTCCATATCCTGTACCTGCTGCTCTGCCGCTCCTTCCAGCTTGCTTACCTCTTGCAACACCCTGAGGAGAGGGCGCAGCCTGAGCCCTGCCTGGGACCTATGGGGGACATGTCTCCAAAGCCACTCTGCAGCCCTGGGACACCCCCTGTCCTAGTGCGAGAGCCCTTCAGCCGGGACCAGCTGTCACAGAATGTCCACGCTCTGGTTTCCTTCCGCCGAGTTCCTGCAGAAGGGCTACTGGGCGGTAGTGGGGTATGCAGCAACCCAGTCAGTGTGGGGGGAGGGTCAGGGGTTGGGGGGTTATGTTGGAGGGTGGGTGGGCTTCTTGCAGGGTTCACCTGGGCTCAAACAGATGGGTCTGAATCTGCCTGCCCATGGGCCCCTCTTGGTGCCCTAGAAGGAGCTGCCAGAGCCCGAGGGCCGTGGGGGCCCCCGTCACACTCGCCTGGGAAACCCCTACTGCTCCCCCACACTGGTGCGCAAGAAGGCCATTCGCAGCAAGGTGATCCGCTCCGGGGCCTACCGAGGCTGTACCTATGAGACACAGCTGCAGCTGTCAGCCCGGGAGGCCTGTGAGTTGGATGAGGTGGCTGGCTGGCAAGGGACAGGAGCAAGGGGTTCATGCATGTTTGGGGGGGCCTTGCCTCACCCACTTGTACCTGCCCTTCTCTCATGGCTGCCTGTGCATGTGAGGGTGCATCAGGCTGGGGGTGGCTAAACAGTCGTGTATGAACTTCAACTGGTGAGCGTAGGGTTTCTGTTGGGGGGCCAGATGTGTGACAGTTGGGGGAAGAGGTTTGGTGGGGAGACAAACCGTGGGATGGGGCTGTGTGGTAGAGGGGCAGGTCTGGCCTTGGGAGGTTCTACCGTGCTCCTTCTGACATTCGTGGTCTCCATAGTTCCTGCCGCGTGGGAGGCATGGCCGCGCAGCCCTGGTGGTCCCTCGTGCCTGGTGGAGAATGAGGGTAGCCTCACAGAGAACATCTGGGCCTTTGCTGGCCTCTCCAAGTAAGGGAGTCCTGTCCCTTGGGTTGGGTATAAAAATGTGAGGTAGGTTCTTTGTCATGTCTACACAGGGTGCGTGGGCAGAGTGTAGGGACTTTAACTGGTGAGTGAGGATGTTCCCAGCCTAGGTGACCTCAGGCCATGGACTTCCTCTGCTGGAACCTCAGTTTTTTCAGAATGTAAAATGGGGCTAAGGAGAGGAGCAAGACACGGGTGAAAGCCTCAGTGCGACCTGTTACTGCCAGCCTTCCTGCGGTTTCTCAGACCTCTCCTGACCAGGGCCTTGAAGTCACCAAGTCAGGGCCTCAGAAGGCCTTTAGTTCCTTTGAATTCTGTTTACTGAGTGGCTGATCTGGTTTAGAACTTCTGAGGGCACATATTCGGTCCTCTGCCACAACCATCAAGCTCTTGGAGCCAGTATGTCTCTAATCAGGATAACAGTCTGGAGACTGGGATCAGACTGGTGGCTTTAACCTTAGCTCCCTCCCCCTAGGCCCTGTGCTCTGGCCCTGCTGAGGAGAGATGTGCATGGGGCCTTCCTACTGTGGCCAGAGCCCGGTACCAGTGACCAGTGGAGCTTGTCTGTACGGACCCAGTGTGGTGTGGTGCCTCACCAGGTCTTCCGGAACCACCTGGGCCGGTACTGCCTAGAGGTGAGCCCTAAAGGAGTTTCCAGCTCTACCCCATTCTGGCTCCAACTCTTGGAATTCTTACTCTGCCCTTTCCCAGCCCCTGAGCTCCTGAGCCCACCTCACTTCATCCTGTACCCTCACTGGGTGCTCTCTGGTTCAGCCTCTTCTAGTCTACTCCTGTCTCCTTGGCCCTGCTAGCTCTGCTTCTGTTCTTTTGGGGTTTTGTTGTTTTGTTTTGTTTTGAGACAAGATTTCTCTGGCTGTCCTGGAACACTAACTATGTAGACCAGGCTGGCCTCAAATTCAGAGATCAGCCTCCCAAGTGCTGGTAGTAAAGGCTGGCGTGGTGGCCTTTACTTCTTGCTGGCTGGATGCTGACCAGGGTTCAGGGAGAATCACTGAGGTTCCGGCCTCTGAGGTCTTCCCCTCTAGAGGTGTCTTTCAGAGGTAACCTCTAGTAGAGCCAACTAAATGCATGCAGCCTCTGAGTCTCTGATCTGTTTCCAGGGCCGGGCTGGCAAGGCTTTTACATGATGTCTGTCCTCCCACGCCAGCTGTCTCAGTCCTGCCCAGGCTGGGAAGAACAAGGAAAGGCTGACTAGCCCCATGGTCACTTCACACTCCATCCTTCTCCATTTATCCTCCACATGATGGGAGACCAGCGGGTGGGTGGGGTGCTGATACATGGCATGAGCCATGGGGCAGGGGACCAGAGCTAAAGACCCTTCCTCCCCAGCACCTGCCAGCGGAGTTCCCCAGCCTGGAGGCCCTGGTGGAGAGCCACGCCGGGATGGAGCGCAGCCTGTTCTGCCCACTCAGCATGGGCCGTCTCAACCCCACTTATGAAGAGCAGGACTGTGGCCCTGAGGGCAGGCTCCCACGGACTCTGAGGCCCCTCAGCCATGCCAAGTCTGAGGCAGAGCTGCAAGGCCTTGGCTAGGACGTAAGGCCTCAGTCCCCTGTGGGCCCAGCCCTGTCCTTGGGCTCTGGGCTGTGACACTCACTCTGCCCTTCTTGTACCCCACTCACTAGTCACCAGCTTCAAACAGGTCAATCTGCCCCTTGATCAGTCTTCCATCACTCCACTGCCCACGGGAGGGGAGCCCTAAGGTTGGAGTTGGAGATAACAGGGCTTCTCCCAGGACCTGGGGCCAACTGAGATACCAGGATGAGCAGGCACGTAGAGCTAAGTGTCTGGTAATGCTAGGTGACTTTGGGTGGTGGCCACTGTCCTCCTAGTGCAGAGGCTTTCCCAGCAGTTCAAGGATGTGGGTGCAGCCCTTACTGGAGGAGGCCAAGCCTCTGTTGGACAGGGAGCCCCGGAGAGCTCCCATAGGGAACCAGATGCTTAGGGAATTGCAAGTTTCCACCCTCTGTTCATTTCCTGGTGTCACTCCACTGAGTAGGGCCTACAGTAGGCAAACCACAGTTGGTTTGGTAGCTGCTTTAGGAAGCCATCTCATGCTGGCTTTAATACAGTGCTGGCCATTAGACATGGCTGGCACTGGTCACCTCCTTAGTAAGTCACCCCCCACTTGCAATGGAAAACTAGAACTAACCCAAACCCCACAGAGAGGGGTGTGGCCTTATCAATGGGAGATCCAGGGACACATTCTAGAGGAAGGCAGGGGCCCAGACAGCAATGACAAATCCAAGTGTCCCTTAAGTCAACTAAGCAGAATATATGAATCTACCCAAAAGAACAGACTTCTTAGCTTGACCGTGGTGACACACGCCTTTAATCCCAGCACTCGGGAGGCAGAGGCAGAAGGATTTCTTGTGAGTTTGAGGACAGCCTGCTTTACAGAGTGAGTTCCAGGACAGGCAGGGCTACACTGAGAAACTCTGTCTCAACAAAACAAAACAAAACAAAAAATCAAGACTACTTTTGGAAACAGAGGTGTAGGCACAGGTGGGAGAGGATGTCTGTACTCAGTGCCTTGATGGCCAGGTTTTGGTGGAAGCCACGGGTTTGGGGTTTTGGAACCAGAGGGAAGGGGGGCAGCCTCTACAGAGCAGAAAGAAGACAAACCTGGGAGTAAGAGGCAGGCCAGGCCTGGTGCTTCCAGCTTCCAGCCCCCCCCCCCACCACACACACACAGATAAGCCCTTAGCTAAGGACATTGTCATTTCTTTCAAGTGACATGTTTCATGAGGGATGGAGAGAAGCGTGTGGGACCCTTTCACAGGAGATAACACTTCCCAGAGACTGAACGCGGGTGATATTCCTTCCATGGCCATTTCCTCTGGCATCCCCACTCCCTGAGTAGGGCCTGGTCCCCAGTGGGAGCAGAGGGATTACTCCAGAGAGTTAAACCTAAGAAAAGCTGATAACTAATTGACCCAGACTTTAGGCCAGGGCTCACCTCCAGGAGAGTATGTTCATAGTGTGAATTGTCGATGTGTACAATACCCAGGGATATTTCAGCATGTCCAAGGGGCTAGCCCTTCCCCAGGCCCTTTAACATTTTTTCCAAAGCATTTATTGATCACATGGTACAAACTGCACAGTTTGGAGCCCATGAGTTCATACTGTCTTAATTATAGACCATAGTTCTGTCTTTGTTCAAACCATCACCAAGCCCCCCTGTGTGGACTTTGAGATGAATAAAACACATTTCTTCCCAGTCTATTGCAGTTCCTTGAGTGGCTACATCTTTATTGATGTTTTCCTGTTTTGCTTTTGTTTGCCAAACATACCACAGATGGTATGGAATGGTGAGCCTGACTGAGGTCTTGGCCACCAGGGTCCAGGAAAAAAAAAAAAACTGAATTGAGAGATGGGCTTTGGTGAAGGAATCTTCTAAGAAGATTCAAGGCCCAGTGCTTTCTGCCAAACCTTGGGATCTGACTTTGATCCATTGCGCCCACGTGGTGGAAGGAGAGAACCGTTTCCTGCAGGTTGTCTTCCAACTGTCACATTTGCTGTATATTTGTGCAAGTGCACCCACATGCAAACACACACGTGCGTGCGAGCGCGCGCGCACACACACACACACACACACACACAATTTTTAAAAAATTCAGAATGTACTGGTAACTCAGGCTTGCTTACTGCCCCAGCAAAACACAGCAGGCCCTTTGCACAGCCCAGACCTGCCTAAACCCCATGTGAGCTCCGGTTGGTTCTAAGATCTTGCCTGACTCCCTACAACTGACAGAGGATCCCTTAAAGACACACAGGATTTGTTCATCTGTAGTCACTCTTTGGATTGTGTTTTGTTTTTGTTTTTTCCCCTTTCCAATGTTAGTTTTCCTTACTAGTCTGCAAGAGGGCTGTCTTCCCAGTGCCTGTCACATAACTGACACTGTTTCTGCAGAGGAACCCACAGGAGCATTGCAACTGGGTGGTTGGTGGCTTAGAATGGGCCAGCAGGTTAGGCTGTGTGGTTTTTCCAACAGAAAGACTATATCCTAAAGTTTTTGTCTTTTGCTTTTTAAAATACATTTATGCTGGGTGGTGGTGGTGCAGGTCTTTAATCCCAGCACTTGGGAGGCTGAACTCTTTTAGTTTGAGGACAGCCTTGTCTACAGAGCAAGTTCCAGGGCAGCCAGGGCAACGCACACACACACACACACACAAAACGTGTCTTGAAAAACATTTTTTAAAAAGAGAGACATTTATGTGTGTGGGGCCCCTTGCAAGAGTCAGTTCTCTCCACCCATCATGTAGGTCCCACGTGTAGAATGCAGGCCATCAGTCTTGACAGCAAGCGCCTTTCACTAGCTGAGCCATCTCGCTGGACCAGTTTTCGTGTCTTAAAATCTGGACTCTTAAGACTGGTCCTGTTTTCAAGAAGCATCACTCTGCCAGTGGACCGTGTACAGGGGACAGCGAAGTCCTTGTTACCCTCTCACAAGTCTCTAACCCCCGAGGTCAAGCATGGGTTTCAGGTCTTAGCCTGGCCACCTCTGCCGGATTGCTGAACCTCTAGGCTGGAGCTGCGAGGCGTGGGAGACAGGAGGGTCAGGGCCAACCCTACCATCAGTGCATCCCAAGCGGCCAGCCTGCAGCCAACCTCTCCCTCGCACTCAGCGTTCCTCGGGCCGCCCTGTGACGTCACGGACGTTGCCCGGGCAACGGCGAACGCCGAGACGGCGTGCACGAGCGCGAGTGTGGCCCGTCCAGCTTC